AGATGTACTTGAGAATACTTTTTTCTGGGATAATTCTTAACTTTATATAATTGGTGAAGATATAATCATTTGACCCGAACTCTGTGTAAGGGGCTCTGGAGAAACAAGCAAATAAACCTGGCAAAAGTCCACATAGACACACATCCTATGCCCACTATCCTGTTCTACCTGCATCATTTAAGGTGTCAGAAGATAAAGATCCGTCGCTTATAAGAAAGTAAAAAACAAACCTGGAAATAATGAGAAAAGACAAGATGGAGAGCTATTTCCAGTGTCTGAGATGTTTGTGAGATAAGGTATGATCTTATCTTTTTTCATTTCTGGAAATCCTGAATCCAATTAATTACTTTTTCAAACAACCACCTCACTTAAGACAATAGTACCAAATACTTAACTGTTCTTCCTACTTGTTCTAGTCTTGCACTCATCCCTTAACCCTGTCATTCAGTTTTCAGTGAAACAATTCTTTGAAGGTCACTAATAAATGTCTAAATATTGTATTTATAAACATATTTCCATCCTTAAATTTTTTGAGATATTTGGAATCATCCATTATAAGTTGAGTCTTGTCAGAAATTCCAAGTAATACAGGTCGACAGAGCAAATCCATCTAAAGATGAAAATAGTGCATCTGGGACACCAAGCATGAACAACATAGAGGACATAAGCAAGCTGCATGACCAGGTAGCCCAAACTTCCTTGCCACCTACCAAGGTTGCACTAGAACACCATTCTCAGCTCACACCAATGGTTATATGGACATTCTTTTATGAACAATTAAAGGAGGAGGAAAACACCTGAGCTTTTATGGCTAGGTTTATAAATAGGTTGGCTGGATTAGCAGGTTCCAGTTGGAAATGGAAAGCAGCTGCATGATAGCATCAATAAGGGTGCCTTGAATAACTACAGAGAGCAAAATTTTTTCAAAGTGTGAAACTTTGAGCTGTGCACCGAATGATTCACTTTATAGGGAACTCTATAAATTTCTTAAGGCTGAAAGCTATACAGGAGAACTCTGAATTCTCCTTCTCTATCATCCACTATTTTCAGTCAATATTCTTAATTTTAAGATAAAATTAAAACTGAATCAAGCTACTTATGCAAAAAAGGGCTAGGGGAGATTTTATGATAAGGTAGGACTAATTTTTAGAGCTACAGGGCAGGAGTAAAAGCAGGCCTAAGGGAAATTCCACAAACAGATTGGAATTATATCCGAACTCTTCCTGTATCTCATCTCCGTTTCTTTCTGAATGTGTGATTCTCTCTCTCTCTCTTTCTTTTTCTCTCTCTCCTCTCTCTTCTCTCTCATTTTCTGACATTTTCTGCTTCTCTACTAGAAATGGTTTGTGGAAAACTGACTATCTCTCTCAAGGTTGTTGTTTTTAATATATTTTTATTTATTTCAGAGAGGAAGGGAGAGGGAGGGCGATAGAAACATCAATGATGAGAGAAAACCATTGATTGGTTACCTCTTGCACACCCCCTACTGGGGATCCAGCCCGAAACCTAGGCATGTGCCCTTGACTGGAATCGAACCCTGGACCCTTCAGTCTTCAGGCCAATGATCTATCCACTAAGCCATACTGGCTACGGCTATCTCTCAAGGTTTTATATGTATATATAAAGGTATGCCATGATCCGACATGAGAGAGACTGAATTTTTAAAATTTGCTGCAAATATGGATTTCCATTCTAAAAACAAAACAAACAAACAAACCCCTCTAACTGACCCAGCTTAATTCAGATTCCAATTTGGGGTCCAAATTGTGTAAAATAGAGTCATCTTACTCAAAATGGTTGCTCAAGCATCAGCCTTGACTTTGACAGAAAACTAGGTCACTATGAACTGAACATTCATTCTCTCAGTATTCTTCTCTTTTATCTGCTATATAGTTCTATCACCAGAAACTATTCCATTCTTCTTTCAAAATTACTTTCATCTCCAGTCCACCATTTATTGTTTGCCGAAATGATAATTCAGGAAAAGGATTTTTTATTATAGTTAAGTCTACATTCTTTAACTACTGGTGAGGATAAACTTTTCCCCCATGTTATAGATAACTAGAGGCCTGGTGCACAAAATTCATGCATGGGGGGAGGGGCATGTCTTGCAGCCCAGCCTGCACCCTCTCCAATCTGGAACCCCTCAGGGGATATCTGATTGCTGGTTTAGGTCCTATCCTTCTCACAATCCAGGATTGCTGACTCCCAACCGCTCGCCTGCCTGCCTGATTGCCCCTAACCACTTCTGCCTGCCATCCTGATCACCCCAAAACCACTCCCCTGCCAGCCCAATCACCTCCAATTGCCCTCACCTGCCAGCCTGGTCCCTCCCAACTGCCCTCCCCTGCCAGTCTGTTCACCCACAAGTGCCCTCCCCTGCTGGCCTGATTGCCCACAGCTGCCCTCCCCTGCCGGCCATCTTGTGACCACATGGGGGCGGCCCTCTTGTGTGAGGGTGTGATGGTCAATTTGCATATTACCTCTTTATTATTATAGGATGGCACCCCAATAAGTTCAAGTAAAAATATAAAAGGTTGCATGGCTGACAGGCACAGTGGTGGGGGCGGGAGCCTCTCCCACCTCCACAGCAGCACTAAGGAGTCCGACTTTTGGCTTAGGCCCGCTCCCTGCAGTCGGACATACCCCCCAGGGCTCCCGGACTGTGAGAGGCACAGGCTGGGTGAGGGACCCCCCTTCACCCCCCAGTGCATCAATTTCATGCACTGAGCCTCTAGTTTATTATATAGGAGGATTAGTATTTCTGCTTCATTGGTTTGTATTATGAACTGAATTGTGCTCCTCCCTCCCAAATTCATATGTTGAAATGCTGACCCCCAATGTGACTATATTTAGGAATAGGAGACTTTCAAGAGGAAATAAAGTTAAATGAGGTCATTAGGGTGGAGCTCTGATCTAAGAGAACTGGTGGTCTTATAAGAAGAGGAAGAAACATCAGGAATGCTTGTGTACATTGGAAAGGGCATGTGAGGTTTTCTGAAAATCAAGGAGGCTTCAGAAGACACCAAACCTGTCAACACCTCATCTTAGACTTCCAACCTCCAGAACTGTGAGAAAATAAATTCGTTAAGCCTTCCAGTTTGTGGTATTTTGTTACAGTTTGCCTAGCTGATACAGTTTGCCTCTGTTCGTTATCCATTTTTCTTTTATTTTCTTCTGAAAAGAAAAGAGCTCTCTAAACATTAGGCTATTGGCCTTTTGTATAAAATAATTATTTTACAAATATCTTTAATTTACAAATATTGTTCCCAATTCATTTTCCCTCTCACCTTTTTTTACAATATATTTTTTACTGATTTCAGAGAGGAAGGGAGAGGGAGAGAGAAGATAAAAACATCAATGATGAGAGAGAATCATTGACTGGCTGCCTCCTGCACGCCCCACAGTGAGGATGGAGCCCGCAACCCCCCCCATCCCCCCACCCACCCCT